CCTTCTTCAGGTGTATGTTTAAATTATTTGCACCAGCTAAATCCTTGTTGACCAAATGTGAAGTGTTATTTTAGTAAATGGAGGACAGACATGTACCGACGCAATGTCTGAGTGTCCATTAATCGTGACCATTTTTTTTTTCATAAGAGATGCATTCTGCTATAAAGAATTTAATCTGGTAGAGTTAAGAATCAATAACGAAATTTTTTATTTACTTTTATTTCGTTTATTTTTACAGTTATCGTCGACTCAGCACTAGAACGCGTTAATTCAGCAAGAAGCAGTTCTCGATTAAAAAGAGCCACTTCAGTAACTTCAGACAAGTCTGACAAAACCCCCGGAAAGACAGAAGAGGTATTAAAAAAAAATGTAAAATCTTTGGTTGTAACAGTTTGGAATGATAATTTTTAATAAGAAAAAAAATTGTAAGTGACAAAATTCTTCAGAAATGAGATAAAACCTGGCTGACATAGTCTTTATTTTTCACGTGATCTGGAAGCTTCGGTTGTTCATCGTTCCGGGGGGGGATCTTATATCCGTTGTGGAAGACTGAGGTTTCGTTCGGAGTTTAACACGAGGTAGTAGTCAAGATAAACATGGGGAAAATCAATACGTATGTGTAGTCGAAGTGGTCCCATTGTACTCTGACGAAACTCCGAGCTGACATTTTCGGTTCAATAGATCAATTCATCTACATTCGTTGGCAGATATGTCTATGCGTTTATTATTGCAACGTAGATGTTTTGATCGCTAGAGTATATCATTAGCGAAACATTTATTTCTATTTAGCTGCCCAAGGATTAATGTAGTTTTTGCTGCAGTATGGCTGCTGCTTAAGATAACCTCTCTTTAAAAGAACAATACTTAAAACGTGTGCATCTCTTTCTCCCTCTCTCTATCATTCTCTCTTATTCTCTCTGTCTGTCTGTCTCTCTTATTCTCTCTCTCTCTCTCTCTTATTCTCTCTCTCTCTCTCTCTCTCTCTTATTCTCTCTGTCTGTCTCTCTCTCTCTCTTATTCTCTCTGTCTGTCTCTCTCTCACTCTTATTCTCTCTGTCTGTCTCTCTCTCTCTCTTATTCTCTCTGTCTGTCTCTCTCTCTGTCTGTCTCTCTCTCTTATTCTCTCTGTCTGTCTCTCTCTCTTATTCTCTCTGTCTGTCTCTCTCTCTCTTATTCTCTCTGTCTGTCTCTCTCTCTCTTATTCTCTCTGTCTGTCTCTCTCTCTCTTATTCTCTCTGTCTGTCTCTCTCTCTCTTATTCTCTCTGTCTGTCTCTCTCTCTCTTATTCTCTCTGTCTCCCCCCCCACACGCAACTGTGTGTAGGTTTATTTAGAAAAACATTAAAATACCAGGGGACATATTTACATTGTTTTCATTAATCATTATTTCATACTAAGCGATCTTTCTTCGCATTGTTGTGTGTGTGTATGTATATATATATATATATACACACACACACACAATCTAAAACAACAGCTCGATGAAGACACCATTAATATGTTGGCATTATGTGTGGGAGGTAACATATGAATGTCCTAACCTGATAAATTAAAAAAATTGCTTTTTTTTTTTCTTTCTTTTTCTTTTCTTATAGGAAAAAGTTCCGCCTGCAAGTATGATGCGTATTATGAAAATGAACAGACCCGAATGGCTATTCATCCTTTTGGGTTGTTTTGGTTCCATTTTAACAGGTGCAATGAATCCTTTATTTGCGGTGATTTTCAGTAAAATTATCGCAGTAAGTTGAGATTTTAATTCTTTAATTTAATCAAATTTAATCTCCCCTCTTGACAAATCTTATATATATATATATATATATTAGTGCACAGCCTATATTTTATATCATAAAGAAACAATTTATACAAATTAAATAGCATTGTTAATGTGATTAATGACGAAATCATTTCGCTAACAGAAATTAATGAGACATTAACTTACTATCAATTCCTTGAAGAAGATCCTTACATTAGAGTTGTTGTCAGATGGAAGACACGTAAATACTTTCGACAATTTCAAATTATCATCTTCACGGCGCAATTTCCCATACATAGGCAAACACTAAGACGAAATATATGTAGCCCGAAAGATGTTTTTTATATTAGTTTAAAGTTGAATAAGTGATTTCGCCATTAATCACATTAACATTGCTATTTAATTCTTTGTATAAATTTTCTTATATATATATATATCTCCCGTTATGGACATTTTCTGTTTCTCTAATTATTCCGTTATCGTCAAATGATTCTGGGAAATTTGAATTAAGTTTGCGAAATCAAGAAGATAGAAAATAACATCTCAATAATTCTTTAAAATTTCATATTTTTTTAAAAATTTCAAGTCGATCCTAAAATGGACAGAAGCATCTAAGTTGACCGAAGTTTAGCAAAAGGCAATCCTCTATCAAATTGTACGAGGAACGGAGAATCAAAATGTTGAAAAATTAATTAGGAGGTAATTATGAAATAAGTGAAAAATATAAATACCATTCTTCATTTAACGCCTCAACTGTTTAAAAACGTCCGACTTACGACCAGCTGAAAAATCTCCAATATCCCTCCAGTCATTATTGTACGTTGTACAAAAGCTTTGATCATGATTGTGTCCTCTTTGTTTAAATGCAATCAGAATAAATAAAATGCTTAGTAAATCCAAATTGTATTCTATCTACAGTTTGTAAACCAAAGTAAACTGATTTTCGAATTTGTTTATTACGTTTGCTGTTCAGTATTGGATAAATATTTACGAATAAATTAGAAATGTTTCAAATGCTATAAAAATGACATTAAAGCTATTTTAAGCTCTTTGAGATAAACACATGACATGCGTAGTAAACCTGAAATAGTGGTCTGGTACTCCTCGCTCAGCGACCGGAACGGAACGCGAGTGGGTGTTAAGCGAGTGGGTGTATTTTTATTAGCCATGGCAGTTTGACCATTGTATCCAGGTGAAAACGCTTTATAAAATACGCTAGTCTTAATGACCCATCTGAAAGGAGGATTTACTGTAGTCATTCTCATTGATTTTATTATTCACTTAGCGCGAATTCGTCTCTCCAACACACACACACACACGGTGAAACAAATGGCTTCAAGCTGGATATATATATATATATATATATATATATATATATATATATATATATATATGCACTCGACTCTCCCGTCGAATTCGGCGTATGAGGGTCAAGCAGATCAGTTAAGAAACCGACAGCCCGACAATATATATAATGTGTGTGTGTTGTTTGAAGGGCACCTCGGCGTGGTGTAATGGTGAGCAAGCTTGTCTTGCTAGATCAGTTACGACTGAAAAGTGAGTTCAATCCTCACTAGATGCCTCATATTTTCGGCCTTGTGCCACATCTAAGCTGCGCTTAGAAAAGCAATATATATACTATGTGTCAAAAAGAGAATGGTGGCTTATGTAAAACAAATTTACATCCGGTCATATTGTTAGCTTACTATTTTGTACTCGTAACAGTAGTGCATCCATATAGGAACACTACTATTGATAACAGCTGTGGCATTAAACAGAAATTATTAAATCTATCAGGTCATCCATCCCGTAAGTTCTGTCCGAATTTTGAATAAAGAAAACAAGTGACCAAATGTTACTTTTAATTACAGATTCAATCAACAATGTATTTTCCCTGATTATCTATGACTTCCTTCCATCTATTAACAAGCTTACTAATTCCATTACTGTAAAAATTCTTTTGGCTTTGATTCGAAGAACTCACAAATGTCAGTTTTAACCTCTTCCTGTGTTACAAAAGCTGTTTCTTCCAAATGATTCTGTAAGCTACGAAACAAATGGTAGACTAAAGGAGCAAGATCGAGAGAATAAGGTGGATGAGGAATTTTCTTCGATCTTTTGTGACGTGATTTTTGCTGTGTGGGGTCGCGCATTGTCCTGATGAAACATCACTTCTTTTCGATTCACTAGAGAAGGTCTTTTTTTCCTCAAAGCTTGGTTCAAACGCTCTAATTGCAGTATATTTGAGCATTAATTGTTGCATTAGGTGGTAAGAATTCAAACTGAATTATTCCTTGGCGATCCCACCAGATTGAAAGAAGAACCTTTTGCCCATGAAGTTCCCTTCTCGGCTGGGGTCCTTCCCCTTTACCTAGCCACTGTCTACGACGCTTAACATTTCGATAAAAGATCCATTTTTCGTCGCCAGTCACAAAAAGATGAAACAAGTTGGTGAGAATGGAGAGAAGAGCAGATTTCAACTCGGGATTTGAGGTTGTTTTCAGACAATTCATGAGGCACCCATTTTCCAAGTTTAGAAACTTTTCCAAATTGTTGAAGATGACGATGAACAGTTATATGGTTTGAACTGAGAACCACTGCCAATTCTTCAACTGATAAAGCAGGATTTTCTTCAAGGACTGCTTCAAGAAGCTTTTCATAAAACTCAAACTGGATGTCCAGTTCGATCTTCATCTTCAAAGGTGAAATCTCCACCTCTGAATTTTGCAAACCATCTTCTGCAAGTTCTTTCATTCACACATTCCTCCCCATAAACTGAGTGAATGTTTCTAGCCGCTTCGGCTTCTGAGTTTCCTTTCTTGAACTCATAAAGCATTATGTGCCTCAAATGATTCTTGGGTACTTCCATGTTAGCAGGGTTCTCTGAAATAAAATTTAATCAGTTTAAATGCATCTAAACATAAAAATAATGTTCAGGCCCATTAGACATTGTAAAATACTCTTTAAATTTCATTAATTTAAAAAAAAAAAAAAAAAAAAGGTAAAATTCGGACAGAACTTATGGGATGACCTGATACTAATAAAATACTTCATCAAAGATAATGATTATTACAATCCCCCAAAACGGGGCCTGGCCGGGCATCGTTATATATGAAAGCCCAGTGGTGCTAAATTTTGAATTGTTTCACCCAGAAAAAAAATTCAGTTGAATCAAAAAAAATTTACTATTTTTGGTTTTAATCATTTTACATGGTTTAATTCGAAACCATTTCAAAATTTAGTCTTCAATGCGTGGGTGGGTGACTAAGGTATACTACAGAGGTAATCTATCGATGGTTGTTTTCTCTCTCTCTCTCTCTATCTCTCTCTCTCTCTCTCTCTCTCTCTCTCTCTCTCTCTCTCTCTCTCTCGATGGTTGTTTCTCTCTCTCTCTCTCTCTCTCTCGATGGTTTCTCTCTCTCTCTCTCTCTCTCTCGTTGTTTCTCTCTCTTCTCTCTCTCTCTCTCTCTCTCTCTGGTTGTTTCTCTCTCTCTCTCTCTCGATGGTTGTTTCTCTCTCTCTCTCTCGATGGTTGTTTCTCTCTCTCTCTCTCTCGATGGTTGTTTTCTCTCTCTCTCTCTCGATGGTTGTTTTTCTCTCTCTCTCTCGATGGTTGTTTTTCTCTCTCTCTCTCTCGATGGTTTCTTTTCTCTCGATGGTTGTTTTCTCTCTCTCTCTCGATGGTTTGTTTTCTCTCTCTCTCTCTCTCGATGGTTGTTTCTCTCTCTCGATGTTTGTTTTCTCTCTCTCTCGATAGTTTGGTTGTCTCTCTCTCTCTCTCTCTCTCTCTATGGTTGTTTTCTCTTTCTCTCTCTCTCTCTCTCTCTCTCTCTCTCTCTCTCGATGGTGGTTTTTTCTCTCTCTCTCTCTCTCTCTCTCTCGATGGTTGTTTTTTCTCTCTCTCTCTCTCGATTTTTGTTTTCTCTCTCTCTCTCTCTTTTCTCTCTCTCTCTCTCTCGATGGGTTTCTTTTTTCGATGGTTGTTTTCTCTCTCTCTCTCTCGATGGTTTGTTTTTCTCTCTCTCTCTCGATGGTTTTTTCTCTCTCTCTCTCTCGATTTTTGTTTTCTCTCTCTCTCTCTCTCGATGGTTTTTTTTTTTTCTCTCTCTCTCGATGGTTTTTTTTCTCTCTCTCTCGATGTTTGTTTTCTCTTTTCGATGGTTGTTTTCTCTCTCTCTCTCGATGGTTGTTTTCTCTCTCTCTCTCTCTCTCTGATGTTTTTTTCTCTCTCTCTCTCGATGGTTTTCTCTCTCTCTTTGTTTTTCTCTCTCTCTCTCGATGGTAATGGTTTTTCTCTCTCTCTCTCTCTCGATGGTTTTTTTTTTTCTCTCTCTCTCTCGATGGTTGTTTTTCTCTCTCTCTCTCTCTCGATGGTTGTTTTTTCTCTCTCTCTCTTTTTCTCGATGGTTTTTTTTCTCTCTCTCTCGATGGTTTTTTTTTCTCTCTCTCTCGATTTTTTGTTTTCTCTCTCTCTCTCGATGGTTGTTTTTCTCTCTTTTCTTTCTCTCTCTCTCTCTCGTTTTTCTCTCTCTTTTTTCTCTCTCTCGATTTTTTGTTTTTCTCTCTCTCTCGATGAGAAAATTTTTTTTTCTCTCTCTCTCTCTTTGGTTGTTTTTCTCTCTCTCTCTCTCTCTCTCTCTCTCGATGGTTGTTTTTCTCTCTCTCTCTCTCTCTCGATGGTTGTCGTTTTTTTTTCTCTCTCTCTCTCTCTCTCTCTCTTTTGTTTGTTTTTCTCTCTCTCTCTTTTTTCTCTCTCTCTCTCTAATTTTTGTTTTTTTCTTCTCTCTAATTTGGTTTTTTTTTCTCTCTCTCTCTCTCGATGGTTTGTTTTTTTCTCTCTCTCTCGAATTGTCGTTTTTTTTCTCTCTCTCTCTCTCTCTCTCGATGGCTGTTTTTTTTTTTCTCTCTTGATGGTCTTTTTCTCTCTCGATGGTTTTTTTTTCTCTCTCTCTCTCTCTCTCTCTCGATGGTTGTCTTTTTTCTCTCGATGGTTCTCTCTTTTCTCGATTTTGTTTTTTCTTCTCTCTCTCTCTCTCTCTCTCGATGGTTTTTCGTTTCTCTCTCGATGGTTTTTTTTTTTCTCTTTCTCTCTTTCGATGGCTCTTTTTCTTTTTCTCCTTTTTTGTTCTCTCTCTCGATGGTTGATGGTTCTCTCTCTCTTTCTCTTTGGTTGTCTTTTTTTTTCTCCTCTCTCGATGGTAAATTCTCTCTCTCTCTTCTCTCTCTCTCTCTCTATCGATAGTTGTCTTTTTTTTTTTTTTTTCTCTCAGATATTTGTTTGTTTCTCTCTCTCTCTCTCGATGGTTGTTTCTCTCTCTCTCTTTCTCTTTTTTCTCTCTCTCTCTCTCTCGATGGTTGTTTCTCTCTCTCTCGATGGTTGTTTCTCTCTCTCTTTCGAGAGTTTTTTTCTCTCTCTCTCTCTCTCGATGGTTGTTTCTCTCTCTCTCTCTGATGGTTGTCTTTTTTCTCTCTCCTCTTTCTCTCTCTCGATTTTGTTTTTTTTTCTCTCTCTCGATGGTCTCTCTCTCGATCTTTTTTTTTCTCCTCTCTCGATGGTTTTTTCTCTCTCTCTCTCTCTCTCTCGATGGTTGTTTCTCTCTCTCTCTCTCTCGATGGTTGTTTTCTCTCTCTCTCTCTCTCTCGATGGTTGTTTTCTCTCTCTCTCTCTCGATGGTTGTTTCTCTCTCTCTCTCTCTGGTTGTCTCTCTCTCTCTCTGGTTGTTTTCTCTCTCTCTCTCTCTCTCTCGATGGTTGTTTTCTCTCTCTCTCTCGATCGTTTTTTTTCTCTCTCTCTCTCTCGATGGATTTGTTTTCTCTCTCTCTCGATGGTTGTTTCTCTCTCTCTCTCGATGGTTGTTTCTCTCTCTCTCTCTCTCTCTCGATGGTTGTTTTTTTTTTCTTTCTCTCTTTCGATGTTTTCTTTCCTCACCTCTCATTGGTTGCTTTCGCAAGCTGTTTTTTTCTCTCTCGATGGTTGTTTTTTTTTTCTCCTCTCTTTCGGTTGCTTTCGCTTGGCTGTTTCTCTCTCTCTCTCTTCTTTCAATTGTTGTCTTTCTTTCTATTTTTTCTCTCTCTTCTCTTAAGATTGCTGGTATCCAATTGTTTTCTTTTGCTATTGCAGGTCTTTATTTTACCTATCGATCGCCAAGAGGAAGAAGTCAACCTCTTTGTCCTGCTCTTTGTTGGTCTTGGTTTTGTCGCTGGTTTTGGCAACATTATACAAGTAAGAAAACATTAATTTTTTTTTTTTTTTTTTTTTTTAAATTATGTATATTTTCTATTTCCCTTCCTAGTAATGCAATATAATGACGCCTATTTCGAGATTTTCCAATATTTGTTTTTATTGATACTGTACAGTTAATAGATTTGTTTCAGAGAAATTTCCAGAAACCGACAAATTTGATACAATAATCTATACAAATTAGTAACAACTTCACTGCTTCGATAGGTACCACACAAATTTTATATTGAAGTTTAAACTGAGTTTAATTTATTTCTAATAAACTAAATACTGTACTTTTCCCTCCTTATCAGTTAAATCAATAAAATCGTCTATATTGGCATATTTTTGTAGTTAATAAAGGAATGTGTATTTTTCTTTTTGTGATGTTAATTACAGATATTGGTGTTCTGTGTCTTAAAATGTTCAGTGTTATTGCCTCTTTTGTTCCTTTTAAAAGTTTGGGCTTAATTGTTTTATCTTGTTCCGAGAATTTTGTGGTTAAGGTAAGTATTTGAAACCGTTAACCGTCGCTTTTCACGGAGCGAAGAAGATACGTTTGCGTACTTTTTTGCTACTGCCACTATACTCTATTGTTTTTGTTTGTCGTGAAAGGGTCGTTTTTATATTAAAGAAGATTCAGATTATAGAAGAAATAAAATGTCATCATATATCATCACTGGTGGCAAGGTTGTTTTAGAACAATAAAATATCAGCATTCTGGATCATAAATTCTTTTCATGAAAATTCTTTTCTCAAAAATATATTTTTTCGGAAACATAATTTGTGAAAAAATAACTGATTTAAAGTTTAATCTTAATTAAAACAAATTATCACAGAAAAAACATCTTTAAGGCGGGTTATGTATTTTTGGCGTGGTGAGTTTTGACGGTTTTAAATAAGTTGAAATAAAGTTACATGATGACTACAACGTTAAAGCACATTTTAATATAATTTTTTAAATACCCAGTAAAATCTTAAATTTTTAAAGAAATAATTTAAGCATTTTAATATTTTATTGAATTTAGGTAGTTTTGGTTTTATCGCTTTCGTAAGCAAGCAATACGCTTGTTGAGAAAATCTTAGAAAAATTAAATAAACTTTAAATTTACTATAGATGAAACTTATTTTCTGACAATGTTGTATATGATAACCAACCTGGTCGCGACAAATAAATACAGATTTATAAAATTTAAAAGATTATTATTCTAAATAAAAAAATTAAAACAATTCTTGTAAAATATCATTATTAATAGAAAACTTTTGTCTTAAGAAAATAATATTTTATTCGTAGAAACAATTAGTTTCTAATTAAATGATATGTTAGTGAATTTTTTAATTTTACGATTTTGCGGTCCTTATCTAAATAAATTTGATTTAAATTCTCCGAGGACTTGTCGTTGTTGTGGAGGCGGAAATGAATAACCTGGAAGACGGAATGTTGTTAGTGTTGTGTAGGTTAATTCCTTCTCTGTCTCGGCAAGCGTAAATTCAAGTAAAACAAAGAATACATCTGAGTGTGGGCAAATAAATGTATAATTTATTTACATACATACAAAACTAGTAACTTTTATTTGTTGTCGTTACTAAGGCAACAGGGAAAGAGACTGGTGAAATCACATTGCTGATGGCTGCTGTTGTTTCTCTCTGGCCGCGTTGTTGTTGATATGAAGGCTGGTTTGTGTCGCGTCTCTCAGCTTGCCGGTGTTGACATCCAAGTTGGTCTGTGTTCAGTTTAATTAGAGAATATGCTTCGAATTAAAGTTTTGCTTTTTGGAGCGTGAGTGGTTCTGACTGGTCAATAAATTGTTTGTTTTATTTTGGTTAAAGCAGGTGTCTGTGTGAAAACACGGAAATGACATACCAGAGACGCTACTTGATTTCAGTGAAAAAAAAAAGAAAAAAAAAGTCAAATCTTTTCATTTGTACCCCCTTACTTCTTATAATAACGACCAGCATTCATACTTATGATTGTTATTGCAATATTTTGCCGAAGTTAAGCTCAAATATTTAATGATGCGATAGGGGAAATTCTAAGATTGATTCGTCAGAAAATTAAAATAGGAAAATTGAAATTTTCACGCGTTTTTCTGGTTATTTAAAAAAAAAAAACGAATTTTCTCATATTGAATCCGTTTGGCATGCCTCAATGTAACGATATTCCCGCCATTTAACGGTTAATTATTCGAGCATCTCTTGATTATTTAAATGTGATGTTTATAAAATAATTATCATTAATGCTAATATATTTATCATTATTTCGACAGGTGGGCATGTTTGGGATTTCAGGTGAGAGACTGACTTTGAGGCTTCGTCAAAAAACGTTCCAATCCATGTTACGACAGGTAAGTAATTGTAATTAAATTAAATTTCCTCAGCACAAGTAGAATAGTGAAACTCTTGACTTCAGTCAAGTGAGTTGTAACTGATTTTATCTGGACCTAAATTGTTTGATGTTTAATGATGATAAAAAAAATATCTATAAGATCTTCAAAGCGACCACCCACTTTTCACAAGTAGGGTGGGAAATGAAATAAGAACATTAGGGACCAATTGTCACTCAACCGAAATATAAGAAATCCCGGTCGTGGGTCTAATATAATCAGGCTGCAAGATAGCGTAACACGCCATCCGTCGTGATATGAAGAAGCCGTCAACGATGAGCCGAGAGTCGCAGTAGAAGGGAAAGTGACAGTTGCAGTCTCACTCAGAGCTATCAAAAAGTTCAGTGAATTTCATAAAGACAAAAAAAAAGATTAAATAGCTCGTAATACTTGACTATTAACTACAAAGAGGTGTGGCAAAAACTTGTGCTACATTGGGTTCTGTGCGCTCAATGTGGTACAATAGGTCCACCTATACCAGAGGTCAGCAAACTTTTGGAGTGAGAAAGTCAGAAATCTATACAGTATCTTGGAGTAGGGCTATATCAAATCACTATAATAAATTGTCTCGACCCCTGACCGCTACGTCCAGAAGACTGGCTTGGTCTGGAGGTTTAAAGAGAAAAAAAAACGTACTTGATGTTATATTATTTAAAAAAGTTCCTTATTTTACTGCAGGTATAACTGGATAACAATTAACACAAACGACAAAAAAATGCAAATTTCTTACTACAAATGAAATACATTTAAGAAATGGCAAATTATTTAATGACATTTGTTTCTGCTTATAGTTCTGATAACTTCTCCACATCAGGTGAAATATTTGTCGGCAACAGAAGCAAAACATCATTCAGGTGGTCATCACCCAACTTTGTCCGAAAAAAGATTTTAGTATATTTCATTTTCGAAAAAGTTATTCACAAGCATATGTACTTTCAAATAATGATACCATTCAATAGACTTTTATATTTTCCGCTTGGTAAAACATATTTCTTGTACAAGTTAGCAGTGGATTCGCAATCACATTTTGATATTAAAAATTCATCGCATTGTAAGTTGATTAACTTCAACTGATGTTTCTTCAACTTGCACCAGAAATTAATTAAATAATTTGTGTCCAGGTGTTAAAGTTGGCTGGCCGGACAAAAATTCTTCGCGGGTCGGATGTGGCCGATTCCTATCTGGTATTATCGACTGAGCACAAGAAGTCAAGGAGGGGGGGGGCTCTAAATGAGGTTCTCAAAGTCAGAAGTGACGGATTTTCAATGGTTAGAAGATAACGTTTGAAGTCTCGTATTCAAAACGGCAACCCACGCGCACGAAGGGGAAGAAATGAAAGCAAATAAATGAAAATTTGGGGCCATTTAGAACGGAACAAAGAGAATCCGGAAGTAAGAAACCAAGTGATCTATATACCACCTATCTGTTATTACCTGGGAGAATACTCGATCTGACATTGAAATAAATGCCAAATTATTGAGAACCGAATTCATATTTTTCAGTGCAGCGAGTCCCTTCCAGTTTTTATACATCCCGCCGCAAACGATAAGCAAAATGTAGGGACTGAGTAACCACGTTGTATGTTTACATTCAACTGATGAATTGCGGGCTGAGTTTTCTGAGTGTATTTGGCAACATCAAAGCCCTTTTTAAATGAAAATGTAAGAAAGGAAGTCTGTTATAAACTTGAGTCCTAACTGAGGACCCTAAATTTTGACCAAAACAACAGAGGATTTAAATAATATAATCATCGTTAGTTGAAGCATTTGAAACGATTCCAAAAATAGCTATACAGAAAAAAAATACTCTTTTGGTACGACAGTCCTTATTCGAAAAAAAAATCATAGAAGAAACAGAAGAGGAAGAAAAATGGAAGGAGAATTCTTCATAGTTTTAATTTTCCTTGTCAATACAAGTAACAAAGAAAATTAAAATTAGTTAAGCTGAGAAATCAGGTTAACGAGACAAAACCGTATTGTGTCGAAATGTAGAGAAAAGCGAAACCTGACGATAACATATAATGCAAACGAAAAAGGAAGAAATGTCCTGGCCTCAAAAAACACTTCGAGTCATATTCCAACATTAAGCAGAAGATGCCCACAGGCATAGAAGATTCACCAATATGAACCTGGGCATTACAAAATCTGTCTCCAAACGTAAACAATAACGAACCTAGTGATGAGGACATCAACAAATCTGTAAAAAAGCTGAACAATAATAAAGCATGACTTTACATTGAGGCTGAACTTTTGAAAATAGCATACAAATCTCTGTGAATTTAAAAACAAGTTTCTCGATTTCATGAAGGATGTCTGGAATTGAGTGCATCCACAAAATTACGTATTAGTTCTCTCGATAGAAACAAAAAGATAATCCTCAAAACATTGGATCCGTTATGGTGAAAATAGTAAATTGCATTAAACTCTTACAGTTCTATGATAGTCAATACAACCGAACACATTTTTGTCTTTTCTGTCTTGAAGTCCGAGGGTTATACCCACTTAGCTGTATCCCGTTTGCAATCAATCTAACAACTAAACTATGGGCTTTATATATAAAATTAATGAAACCATTCCCAGACTAAACTTTCATATTTAGTGCCGAGGTAACAGCGCTCGACTCTGACCTCGAAATTCTAGTAAATATAAAAAAATGATTACATACATTGACTCCATGTCAGTGATCAGAGCACTGAAAAAAATGTCGATCATTAAACTCGTCAACAGGATCAATAGCTTAAATACAGATATTGTCTTCTGCTTAATACCAAGCCATATTTAGTACCAGGAAATTATAAAGCGAAATCAGCAGTAAGGAAAGCATCTACTATAAACACATCAGACCACTTAAGTACCAAAATCACACGCATATATATATATATATATATATATATATATATATATATATATATATATATATATAATCAATCAATAATTATACTAGGGAGGAGTGGCAGAACCTATAGAACTCCTGCACAAACAATAAACTGTACAAAATTAAACCTACTCTAGAAGAATGGCATCAGAGACACCAAACTAGAAGAGAAGTGATTATGTCCAGACGCCATATTGGATATACTACAATAACGCATTCTTATATCTTTGAATAAGGAAGATCCTCCCGTATGTGTGGCATGCCAAAAACAATTCAATATAGAACATATTCACCATAAAACATATGCTGAAAATATGAAACTTACTGTAGGAGAATGGCATCGGAAACACCAAACTAGAAGAGAAATGATTGTCCAGACTCCATATTGGACATACTGCAATAAAAAAGGAAGATCCTCCGGTCTGTGTGGCAGGCCAAGAGACATTCACCATAAAACACATAATGACAAATTGCAGCAATTTTAATTCAATCCGCTTAAAATATGACCAGACAAGAAACTTAAAACTTTTTCAATATACTGATCCATTTTCCATATTCCAGTTTCATTGAGAAATTCAAATTAAACTGATCTCGAGAATATAATTTTAAAAAATATAACTAACAGAAGCCTTACTATTTTAAATAACTTTTTTGACTGTTTAAATAAAAGACGTTTTTTTAAAAAAAAAACAATTCATGTTTTACGTCCTATCAACTCATTGGGTCGTTTAATGTCGAAATTTAATGTTTATTAAAGTTCAACATTAAATGACCTAATGGCTTGATATGCCGTAAAACAAATATCACAATTGAATTTGGATTCCGTTCATCATCCTCTTCTAAATGTTAAAAAACCCCCAAAAAACAGGACTCAAGATGAACCTTTCGAAAAAGATAAAAAACATAATGATATGGAATTGGAATGAAAGCAGTAACGAAAACTAACATGAATCAGTCATAAAAAAAATTCTGGAAGTGGAATTAGTAAATACAAATACTAAATACTTCAAATACCTCGGCGTATGAATCGGTTATGACAAATTTAGTATACGATGGGAGGAAATTTCACATGGAATAAGTTGCAGTTTCACCAACATCGAAATTGCTTGAAAACCAAAGAATTAATCTAAAAACTAATGCTATTTTTAAATATTATCATGAATGGTGCCAAACTCGTTCAAAAAATATCTAATCTGTCAACTATTTACAACTGCTTTCTCAGATCAAAGGTTAAAAATATCTTCGTGCGAAAGAAGCGTGGTAGGTTTTATCGAGGGCAATGTTTCTTTGAACCCCGTGAACTGACGCCACAGAATCGAAGACAAGGGCGCAGTTCAAATCTAGTTAGAAGCTACTTCATTCTTAATTTTTGCGCGCTTTATAGTGGTCGGAGAGTGAATCGACCCAGAATGCTGTTTAAAAACAATATTAAATGGAGCAAATAATAATAATAGTAAAATCCGATTTGTTTTTTATTTATTTCAGGAAATTGCTTGGTTTGATGACCATAAGAACAGTACAGGTGCCTTGTGCACTCGACTTTCCATGGATGCTTCCCAAGTTCAAGGCGTGAGTAATTGAAATTCTTCAACTTCTATTGTTGCCATATACAAATTAAAGCTTTACGTCAATCTCTAAGCAGTCGCTTATTTTATGTATAGCCCTGAATTCTAGGAATACTTTGAATAATGTTCATGGACGTCGCACCCAAAATCAAGATGATCGTAGTCTTTCAGATGATCTCTTCTGACCTTAGCTCTAATAGCTTAATGGGGTTGGACTTTTTTTAAAAAATCAATTCACTACAAGCGAGGCAATAAGGCAACTAAGATTCAAGGAGCTACTGAGAGTGAAATAGAATGAAAAAAGACTTTAGAAACAGAAAAACAAAGTATACCGCTATTCCTGTTCCTTAAGCGGGTGTTGAACTCACACTCTTTGGGTCCTGTCACTGGATCTAACTAACGCCTTTTATCTAATGTGTCATGTGTCCTTGAGGACATCTGTGTATGAATTTCTGGGTATTATAAATCTAATGTCTTCAGCAACCAGTGCACATACTGTGAGTTCAATACCCGGTTAAGGCAGTGGAGAACTTGGAGAGGGGAATTAACAGGAGATAACTGATAACTGACAAACATTAAGCATGGCATGTGGAACCAGAACAGTCTACCCCAGTGAGCGAAATAAAGGGTACAGTTCGACATTCCAACCACCTGAAGAAGGCCGGAGCGTACAACGGCCGAAAGGTTGTAAAAAAAAAATGGTGACAAAGATGAAAACAGTAGTCCCAATAATGTAAATAGTGTACATAATACCTCATCTCATACAGACAGATACTGAAAGAAAACCTTTCACCACTCTGCAACCCTTTTCTCACGGGGGCAACGTGGCAAGCCAATCGATACTCTATCGTTATCTCCATGGTAAATGTTTAGACGAACTTCATTTTTTAGTTCAATCAGTTCAGACCTGAGACACGATATACCATATCACTTCCACAGAGCCGAATCATTATGATTTCGTCCGCATTCAATGCGAGAAGAAAGTTCCACGCACCCTTTTCTTAGAATTGCAACTTTGTGGGACATATTCCTGTATGTTTGCTTCCCTAAATACTACAATCTTTCCCTTCGAGTCAAGGGTCAGGCGTATCTACTCTACTCCCTTATTCTAAAAATAGTCACCTCCTACTATCAAATACACTTCTTCATATCAGGCTCCCCCTTTATCATTGCCATTTTAAGTAACTCTCTACCTTGAGTGGTTCTCAAGACTTATATTGGATGGATTTTAGTATAAATAATCAATTAAATGAAAGATGTATTGATACAAAAACAAACAAATTATATTTGCAAAGGCTTACGGCAGTTTGCATAAATTGTTTTCTATTATGCAAAGGAAATAAAACCGGTAAGACATTTATTCAGCCGACGTGTTTTTGTTTTGTTTTACAAAACCTCAATGGGTTATTTAATACCGACAAGATTTTTATTTCTGGTTTCGTTTCTTTTCTTTTACGGCATAGCAACCTCAATGGGTTATTTAATGCCGACAAGATTTTTATTGTAATATTTTTTTCCAAGATGTATTGCTGGTAATATTTTTCTTTTTCAAAAATGTAGTAATAATATTTCCAGCAAAATATTGCTGGTATTAAAACCAATTTTTATATTTTCATAGTGTTTTGACCCCTTTTGGAGGAGTAACTATTTGACCATAACTTGGACTCTAACAGGTCCTACCACCCCGGGTCAGGGTGGATCAGGGAACACCAGCAATTACGTGGTGGTCCCACGCTCTTCAAAATCTCCCGATCAGAGTCCTTGCTGTTGGATGTAGTTTATCGTCATACCCAGGACGGTCAGCCGACCTGAAATCCTCCAAATTCTATGACTGGGTTGGCTCGCTCGTTTCAATATTAACCGTGTTCGGGGTAGGACGTAATCCTTAACACTTTTTAGAAATCAGAAATGCAGTATGTAGAATCTTTGTTCTTCTCCAGAACACCTTGGAACTGCATTTCGAATCCTTGTTCCTTGTAAGTAGTCAATGGATTTTTTTATTATCCGTGTAAAGGTTATATTTATTGTGGTGCAGATGTATGACTAAACATTGCATCTTTTTTATTTTACTTTATTAATATTTTTATTCGTTTTTACGGCTTGTCGACCCTTTACAAATTATTTAAAGCCAGTAAATATTTTTAGATTGTAAGATTTTTTTTTTCTTTTTTGAGATAATATTTTAGTGATACACGCTTTACTAATTAACCCATAGGTGTGGGGGGAGAAAAGAAGCTGGATTCATACCTTTTCCGGGCGTATTTGCATGTAAATGAACATAACGAGCCCAATGGGAATTGGAACTCTACTTTCCAATTAACATTTCCGAGCCATTATCCATTACACCACCCGCACATCCAAGTTTAAAGCACCTGGTATTCCTAAGCGGTCACCCACGTAACTTATTTTAAAATACTTAGCAGTTTTAGACGGCGCAAAAAGTAACTGTCGAAACTTGACAAAACAAATTTAAAGTCAAAAAGGATAAAATCCAGTGGTTCATTCATTGTGAAAATAATTAAAATGCATACAATTTTCTTTTTGTAGTTACCTTAAATTTCTTCAGAATGTGCGTTAGGTTATGTATCGTGCCTTAGACACACCACTGCTGTTATCGCTACAGTGCACGTGTTGCTTCTAAGACCCTAATATGTTAGAGCAGAGGGGGTCGGCAACCTACGGCACACCAAACAATTTCCAATGGCACGCAGCCACAAATGACATCACGAAGTCCGAACCAATAACTACTACAACGCAAAAAAGATATTTAGCTGTTTCAATTTTAATATATACTAAAGTATATATATATATATATATATTACTATATAAAATATATTGTAGAACAGGTATATTGACGTTGTATGAAAATAAGTATGCTGTTGGTTCACTGAATGATTTTAAAACCTTAAGTCGACATATAGTCAGCAAAAGGTTGCCGTCCCCTGATTCGAACTCTTGTTTCTTGATCCCGTCTTCCTTTACGCTGTCTGGGGAAGGGGTCGGCAACCTACATCACACGTGCCACACCAAGCAATTACCAATGGCACGCAGCCGCAAATGACATCACGAAGTCCGAACCAATAACTACAACGCAAAGACATTTAGCAGACATTTTAATATATACTAAATTATAGTGTAATATATATATATATATATATATATAAAACATTGTAGAACAGGTATATTGACCTTGACTTGAATAAAAAAAATAAAAAAAACGTATGCTGTTGGTACGCTGAATGATTTTAAAACCCTAAGTCGGTACATAGCAAAATGTTGCCGACCTCTGTGTTAGAGGATTCCTGACAGGACGAGACGTTTCAGCTCTGAATATGTGTTGTGCATTGGAAAATCAAGAACGGAATTAAGGCAATTTGCCACCAGGAACACGACATGGTGGGGGAACCTAGCTGTGAAGGCCTGAGCTGATGAGACTAAGGAATATAACTCGCTAGAAAATTTGCCATAGTAAAAGTGATATGGTGATAGGCTAACAACGTTTCATCTGTGGGACAAGGTTTGCAGGGTGGGAAATAATTCTCCACATACCAGGCCGCGTAAATGCTTTTAAATTATTTACATTATGTTCGGTACTGTCATCTTCGTTCTTGTCATATTCACGACGTTTCGGTCGTTGTATACTCTGGACTTCTTCAGATTGGAATTTCAAACCAAAACCTTTATTTCGTCCACTAGGGTAGATTGTTCTTGTTCCACGTGCCATGTCTCTTATGAATATCTCGGTTTCAGTTATTTCCCTTTAAATAGTTTAATCTCAGAAATAAAGATAGATGCTTTTGAAATCTGTCAAGTCTTGACAGTGAAGACAGGGCAGCACCATCCCTGCATATGGCAGGGAGCACATTATTAAACGTGTTATTGTAATTTTCTTTTTGTTCTGTTTTATTTTCCAAACTCCTTTATAATTCTCTTGCAGGCAACTGGAGCAAGATTTGGTGCGTTTTTACAAAATCTGGCCAATATGGGAACCGCCCTTGTTCTTGGGTTTTACTACGGATGGAAACTAACATTGCTTATTTTAGCATTTGGACCATTCATCGCAATTGGTGGCTTCTTGGAATTCCGATTGATGTCCGGATCAGTTGGCAAGAATAACGACGTTTTAGAAGAATTGGGCAAGGTCTGTATTTGTTTTCAACATTTTATTTTGTAGTGAAAGAGATAATCAGCTACCTCGAAAAAGAGATCGTGTTTTGTGTGCGATCTACTGAAGAAAAATTATCAAAGTAGTTAGCAAAAATCTACTTTAAGGACCAGAATCTATGCTAATGTTCTTCCCTCCCCTGAATGGCGTGACCAATCAGAAAGATCTCTCGGTGAACAAAAGCCGTTGTTTTTCGCTTATATGAGAGATTTGGATTTTCTGAGCTTGGTGGACGGACACGCGTTTTTGCTGGTGAGAAGTGAAGGTTGGATGTGTGACCCCATTTTGTCGTTTCTATGTTGCCTGTTGGACTGTTACGACGGACTATCGTCTGAACTGTGATTTGGCTACAAGTGTTGCGGTCGAGAGAAAGAAATCTATTGCAGACGTTTATTGCTACTATAAGTTGACAGTCTTTTTTTTCTTTTCTTTACAACCAAACACTATAAGTCACCACTATCCTCAAAAAAAAAAAAAAAAAAAACTCCTGCAACAATCAGATACTTTCCTGGCTCTAATGGCATACCGTAGCACACCGATATCTGCTATAAAAGCATGTCTTGTGGAGTTGATCCTGGGTAGGAAAATGAGGACGGTTCTATCAAACCACCCAAACAGACTAATTCCGAAATGGTCTGACTTGGAACAAGTCATGGAGGCAGATTCTTCAGCGAAAAATCGGATGAAGAACTACAAGTGAAGATTGGATGTGACTCCATTTTATCGTTTCTATGTTGCCTGTTGGACTGTTACGACGGACTATCGTTTCAACTGTGATTTGGCTTCAAGTGTTGCGGTCGAGAGAAAGAAGAAATCTATTGCAGACGTTTGTTGCTACTATAAGTTGACAGTCTTTTTTCTTTTCTTTACAACTACATATTTCTTAATATTATTGAAATATTTCTGGTATTATATTTTTTATATAATAATCGTCAATTCTGGAAAGTGTTAAACAGATGACGGAAAATTTAGCCAGACATCTCGACTTCAGTCACTTTCTCACCGACGTGATATGGTTTCTCTCTGTCTTTTCTACAAACGTTTTCCTAATAACTATCCTGATGGGTTTTCCCTTGCTGCTCCGATTGCATGAATTTAAGCGTACTACTAGATTGGTAATTAGGTCTCAACGTTTTACTATTGAACTAGTTAGATGTAACTGCCACTTTTACTCTAGCAGTTTCTTTTCTCGCACTTACGGAACTCCCTTCGAATTTCTTGCTTCCTTGATGTTGTACTTAAATTTTTGAAGATTGTAGTTATCAATTGCCATCTTTTGTCTTCTTGAACCCTGTTCCTTTTGTTGTCCTATCTTCAAACGTCCCCACTTCCTGTACCTCTTGCGGCTTAGGGGCAGTATCTACCTTGCTCTCTGGTGCAACGATTGAAAATAATTACGAAGGTGCATTGGAATAGCTAAAGATGTCGTTCAAATACTAAACAGGATAAAAAACTTGAGACAAGAGATGGTTCTACAGAAGGATGCTGAGAATACCAGGAACTGAACATGTAAGCAACAAGGATGTTCTGAAGAAAATTGGAAACAGAGGACACATGTTTAGAATCAGTTAAAATTTCTTGGATGCATGGTGAAGAAAGGACTTAGAGAAATTGACACTCACAAGGCCTATTGAAAGCAAGAGGGAGAGGGTAATCTACTTAATGAGCTTGTGTAAATCGATGGCAGGTCAGGAGCTGAGAGGAGTAATCAGGAGACAAACATTGCTAAGAGCTATAGAGGATAGGAACTTGTGGAGAGACATGATCGCCCACGCTCTGAAGAAAATCGGTACAGAAGTAGGTCTTTAAATAAAAAAAATAAATGTATATAAATAAGTATCCTTCGAAAATTGTATTTCGTACCTAATAACAGATTGCTGACTCTGAACAATTTGATGAAGTTATATTTTGTTAGGCGGTGTCTTTATTAAACAAAGTTTCATAAAACTCCATAACAACATTTGGCAGATAATGATGGTTATTTCTGTCTCTCACTCACGCACACGGGAAGCGGATGTGCGAGTATTACCAAAGATACCCTGAGAAAATACTGTGATCACAAATGAAGGTTACCGAAGTTGGCTCGAATACGCACAATGCTATATATTGTTTTCATATCTCTTGCACTATTTTATTTATAACAATTTACTAAACGTGGCTTAGATGTGGCACAAGGCCGAAAGTATGAGGCACCCAGTGAGGATCAAAATCACTATTCGGTCATAACTGATCTAGCGAAACAAACGTCTTTAAGCATTACACGACGTCGAAGTGCGCTATTTTATTTATATTCTTTTATGCCTCATTTAATGAGCGGCTCAAATTACTACCCTCATCTGTAGGTTCGCTTATTTTCGGCCGATTTTTTGGCTTGTTTTGTTTTAAGGCTTATCAACCTCAATGGGTTATTTAATGCCGAAAAAAATTTTAATGCCGGTAATATTTTTTTTTTTTCAAAAATGTATAGCAATAATATTTTTTTTTTTCAAAAATGTATAGCAATAATATTTTTTTTTTTCAAAAATGTATAGCAATAAATCAAAAAATTTTTTTTTTTTTCAAAATGTATTTAATAATATTGCGATAATTTTTTTTTTTTTTTTCAAAAATGTATAGCATTTTTTTTTTTTTTTTTTCAAAATATTGCAATTTTTTTTTTTTTTTTTTTTTTTTATTGCGATAATTTTTTTTTTTTTTCAAAATGATAATTTTTTTTTTTTTTTTTTTTCAAAAATGTATTGCAATAATTTTTTTTTTTTTTTTTTCAAAAATGTATTGCAATAATTTTTTTTTTTTTTTTTTTTTCAAAAAATGTATTGCAATAATTTTTTTTTTTTTTTTTAATGTATTGCTGGTAATAAAAGAAAAACCTATTTTTACACTTTCATAGTGTTTTGACCCTAGTTAAGGAGGTTAACTATTTGCCTATAGTTGGGACCCTAAGAGGTGATACCACCCCGGATCAGGATGGACCTGGAAACACCAGCAATTAAGAAGCAGTTCCATGCTCTTCAAAGCCTCCTGATCTGAGGCCTTGCTGTTGAAAGTAGTTTATCGTCTTAACCACGACGCCGGCCGATTTGTTCTGCTACCTTTTATATCCAATAATTTATAAACAGAATCCTTTTTATCTAATTTCATTAATTCTTGCTAAATTGTTGATATTCGAGAAAAAGAAAAGAAAACGTTGGCTAAAACGATCTTTCTCGTCGGCGCCATGGTGTATCCAAATGTAAACAAATGACGTTACACATTATAAACAGAGCATTTACTTAAATATTTGTATCTATAAAAAGAATGTGTAAACATAAAAATGTCTTAAAAATAATTGTCGAACTTTATCTATTTCATAATATGTCACGTCATTTGTTTACATTTGGATACGCATTGAGCAGATATGAATGTACGTGAGAGATTCATGGAAGATTGAAGTTTAAAGGCAGTAAATTCGACCTTGCTAATCGAACGATTCTCTGTGGCTCGATCGGTTAAGAGCACGTCAGGCTAAATGACGACTCCGTATAGGATACAGGTTCGAATCCTGTCGGAGAACGAATATTTTCTATGAAAAATAAAAATAATACTATAAAAAGAATGTATAAACATAAAAATATATATATATATATATATATATATATATATATATATATATATATATATATATATGACATTTTATTTTTTTTTATATATATATATATACTTTTTATTTTCTTTTGAAACGTGAATCATGAAAAGAATATCTTAAATTTCAGCTTGCAGTTGAAGCTATCGAAAACATTCGTACGGTCGCTGTGTTATCAGTTGAGCAAAAGATTCTGGATTCATACGTTGGAAAACTCATCGCTCCGAAAAAGTTAGTTGTTTTTTGTTTTAGTGTTTTATACTGTCACTGTCTTCAAATGTTTTGGGGTCTTAACCGTGAGCGCTTTCAGAAGATATTTTTGTGATAATTGGGTGCCTGGAAAAAAATTAAGACAAGTTCTGCGCCAGAAAGGAACCATTGAGTATATTTGTCATATTAAACATATGTAGCTAAATTTATATTCCAATAAGGAGTCAAGCAGTATGCCGAGAGGACTTTTAAGGTCTTTCTTGTGACGTTCCCAAAAGAGACATGTACGACTTTCTAGTATCTAATTGGTTCTTTTTCGAACTGATCGGAATTGCATCCTCGCCTGTGGAAAACGAGATAGCATCTATTCTCTCTAATGGGCTGTCAAATAACCCACAAGAGCCCCATATGAGATTATTTTTTTTTCCTTTCAAAATGGAGATCACCGCCTTTTTGATAGCTAAATAATTATCTTAAGTAACATATCTTCCAAGGCGTAAGTGTTCATATTTCTTGTGAAAGTGAATCTGAAAAACGTTTTCACACTCAATGCTGCAAATAAATTATTTATATAGTTATTTTTTTAAATTTTACACAGATTGTATTTATGAACAAGTCAAAATGGTGGACACACAGATAATAAACACTTCCGATCAGTTTAACCTTAAGAAGACGTTTCAAAGATTAAATAAATAAAGATTAATAATTGTTGCTAATAGCCATGAGATAATGATTTCTGTAAGCGTATCACCCATTTTATGTTGCTGGATTACCACCTGAAGTAATAAGGATTCTAGCGAGGAGGAATCCATACCACCACAAATAATATCAATAGGATGAAAACTGAAGCAGAGTTGAAAAGCTTACAGTTTCTGAACGAAGGAAAATACTATTTACTGACCAGTTGGGGAGTAGCTCTTCTCTTTAGAGAATGTGACTACATATTGAAGGAAGAAAAATGGATTTTTTTTTAAGGAAAGTATGGTCAGGACCATGGCTTAAACTCTTTGAAAAGTGAATGTTTTCAATGCTGGAATATCGTATATTAATATAGTGAGATCAAGAAACTTTTCTCCAATGCGAGGAAAGTTTTTTTTTTTTTTTTTTTTTTTTGGTAGTTATCATATTACGGCATTTGTGTTGTTTTCCATGCAACACTTGATTCCCTGGAGTCTAAGAAGTTCCACAGAGGATAAACTGGATACATTTTGTCCCTACAGCATTCTGAGAGGAATAGGAGAAAGTTCCCACCCTATTCTTTTATACTGCTTCATGGCAACGCCATCTAACGTGTTCGGGGGGGTTAATCCTCCAGTTTTTTTATAAAAATGATTACATATTTTTTATACTGGAATAAACGAAAACATTGAAGTATTTTCTCTTGTGACGTTCCACGTTGATAAATAAAACGAGTGGTAAAAGGTGGCGGAGGGTGTTATTTCTCCATAAACATGTACACGTTAATTTGAAAGCAGCTTTTGAATTAAAAAAAAAATCTCTTCCCTTCGAACTTCTACATGGCGAACAGTAAAGTACGAACTGCTTTTTTTTTTTTGTCTCTTACACACTCTATACAAATTAAAGCATTTTGTTATCAGTGGTACTCAATCATAGTCAAGTCTTCATAAAAAAAAAGGCGAGGGTGACGAAAGAGTCATTACCCAGCTTAAATTATTTTTAATGTTCAATAGCTACATAACTTCATATCATGCTTCCTATATAGCAATAATTGTGAAATTTTTCAGTACCCTGCTCATTCATTTTAAAATTTACTGAATTTTCTTTTTTCAAATGTTTTTCTAAATGTGTTTCTAATTAAGATTTGATGGAGAAGTTGTATTATTAATACTTTATTTTTTTTGTTACACAAATTAATCAACAACTTTTCTCTTCTCCAGGAAAGCCCTAAAAATGGCAAATATTGTTGGTCTGGCATTTTCTGTCACCCAATCTTTAATCTTCTTTGCCTACGGTGCCTGTTTTTATCTGGGTGCTTATTTGATTTCTCTGTGTGAAATGGACGTTGAAGGCGTTTTCATGTAAGTATTACTCAGCATAAGATTTTACAGCGAATAAAATTCTTTAGACTAGTTTCTTTTTAACCATCTATTTATGAATTAGTTTAGTCACTTTCGGTTTTTAACAAATGACATCAGTTTTCCATCTCAAATCTTCAGAAGGTCTGTTTTATTGCTACTGCTTTTTTTCCATATCATTTCTTTAGTCTATCATAGCGACATGCTACTCTGTTGCTGTTCTGTTTCAGCGGGCGGACTCTTTCAATTTGACCTTATGGAGTTAGTTTATTAATTCTGTGTATCTTTTTTGGAGAGGGTTTGCAATGGTTGGCAAAAACAGATACTGTTTCTTTCCTGCTCGTGGTTTTTTTTTATGTCCGGTTGGATTCTATTTCATAACTAGGAGTCTTTGTGACCTGCATTCATAACTGGAAGTAGCTTCGAGATCTGCGAAGTAGTAAGGCTCTTAGGCCCCCAAAAATCAGAATGCTGAATAGCCGTTACTCGGACTTGAGGCTCTTGTAGTATTTGTTCCGTGGCGGTCCTCCCGCGCTACTAGGTTCAGGGCAGTCTCGCTCATTATTCTCGATTACGTGATGTGCGGTAGCTGGCTATCCTTTTCTGGACATGACTGTTTACATTTGGATACGCATTGAGCAGATATGAATGTACGAGAGAAAATCATGGAGAATTGTAGTTTAAAAACAGTAAAATCGACCTTGCTAACTGAAACGCTCCTCTGTGGCTAAATCGGTAAAAGCAAATCAGGCTATATGACGGTTCCTTATAGGATACAGGTTCGATTCCTGTCGGAGGACGCATATTTTTTTATGAAAACGTCTCGGACATTCAGACCGGTAAATGTCGTTAATACTGTTTACTATAAACAGCATTTGCTTAAATATTTGCATCTATAAAAAAGAACGTACGTACGTGTATGTATGTATGTATGTATGTATATATATATATATATATATATATATATATATATATATATATATATATATATATATATATATATATAAGCAATTTTCCTAGACATCGGAGATAGTCTTTAATATATTAGCAATTGGGTAGTGTTAGAAAGCTAAACGATTTTTAAAAACATTCAAATAAAATCTTTTTATAATCCATTTTCAGGGTGTTTTCCACAATTGTATTTGGGGCCATGGCTCTTGGTCAAGCAAGTTCTTTCGCTCCTGACTATTCAAAAGCGAAAGCTTCGGCTGCTCGCATCTTCAACCTTCTTGACCGACAACCGATAATTGATTCTTACTCACAACATGGTCAAAAGCTCGTAAGTAAAACGATATTTTCCTTTTAACATTATTTACATTTTTATTTATTAAAATTCTCTCCATGTTTCTAGTTAAAAGTTCTTATCTGACAAAAAAAAAGTCAAAATTTACTAACGGCATTTTGAAAATAAGTAATTATGTTAAATCGTTATCTAAAACCATTGACCTTTTAACATAAAAAACAAAAACTAGAGTGCTGTTTTTAAATAGCAACAGCAGATCGGGACTTTTTTTTTTTTTTTAAATCGATTCCCCTCGAGCAAGGCAGTAAAGTCACTAAGACACAAGGGGTTAATATTGCTGATTCTACATTGGATTTTTATCAAGGAGCTCAAGGTAAATAGGGGCACCTGTCCATATGTGCCAGCAATATTCTAGACAATATGGACCTCATCCATGTCGCCAAACTAAATCAGAAATATCTGAACTGTCAGTGCCACTGTTTCTCGGATCAATGCTTAAAAATGGCCTCCAGTGAATGTCCTTCTAAACTTGAGGATCTACAATAGTAAAAATACATCTCCCATGAAACTCTGAGCGAAAATATTGTATGACGTAATGAAGATGTTGATGTTCCACCTTTAATGAGAATCTATTTTTATGAATGAAACTTCGCAGAGTCCTGGATTATTTAGATCAAAGACTTCAAAGATCTCTGATGTAGCTGGGATGACCTTATACCTTACTATATTATATATATAATATATAGATTACAATGAATCGCTCATACAAAAAGTAAATTAGTAAAGTTAATGATATAAAATGACGAAATCCCTTCGCTAACAAAATTTTAAAGGTGCATTAACCTACCAATCACTCGATGAATGTTATGATCCTTGTTTTTAAAAATTTTAAGCTATATAAGGTCTTTCTTAAATGCACAAGTACTTTCGACTGTACATTCAGTCATCTTCAGGCATGGAAATAATTTGGTTTTTGGCAAAATTCAGGTAGCATCCGAGACGAAAAAATATAACGCGAATGGAAATATTAATTTTTTTTTTTTTTTGAAAGGCAGAACATTAAACACCGCTCGATCATTACTGTGGCTTTCGCAAAAGCTGTTGTTCCTTGTCGTGTGGATCTCAAGTGAACCTTGAGTGACCGAAGATCCAAACATAAGTAGAGGCGGAACATGCTGTTGAAACATAATCACAGAAGAGTCCATCTATGATACACCAGTAGTATTCTTGCGAAAGGCCTGAATCCACCTCTTCTCCCCCTGCTATAGGTTAATTAGGAAGACGTGTTATAACGAGCGTTTGGTTGGAAAGGAATAGAACAAACACGGATTATATTTTCAACAACGTGTATTCACCAAGTATACATAATATGTAGTTTTTTTGAAAGGTGGCCAAAAATTGTTCATATGTGGATCCGTAGTTGCCGTTGGTCAGGAAAGCATTTAGGTGTAATGGTATTGTCGGTTGAGGTTGACCGATTTCTTGTGTTGGTTTGCCGAGGTCACGGTTGAGGTCTGGAGTGGATTAGCTGTTGGTAAGGTTTGACGCACGCCTTCCTTTAAGGCTGAAATCGAAATCTGTGTCTAGTAACGTGGGTTTATCGAGCGGAATGACTGTTGGATTCTGGCCAAATGTAGTATCAACGAGACTGTCACCATGGTGACGGCGATGGAGGCCTGGAGTAGATAGTTAAGGCATTGTGGGATGGTAACGGCGAGTGGTGATCATAGCCGTGATAGTGCCAGCGTGCTGACAGGTGGCCTTTTGGCTCGCAGTTGTGTTGGACGTTATGACGGTCTTTCTCTTAAGTAACCTTTCGGGTCATTTTTTTGGTGGGGAGGGGTGTCGGCGGGAATGTTCGTGATTGGTTGTATTCATTTTATTGTGAGGAATTGTTTTGTGGGTGTGATGCTCGGAGCCTATGTACAGAATACGACTTTTTTTAAAATTTTGTTTTGCTTTCTTTGCGCGCACATCCGGCCTACATGAAGTGAATCAGATCTAATTGTAGCAGAATATAATATTTGTATCACTAAATCATTTATATGTACAAAATTCTTCCAATCTAAAAATATTTTCTTGTTTTAAATAACTTGCATCGGCTTGATAAACCGTAAAAACGAATCAATCAATCAATCCTTTTAACAAATTACCTCTACCTACTTAACTGTACATTTCGAAGCTTTTGCACTCTGCCTCCTACCATACCAACGTATTGGATACATTGTAATGCTTTTCTTAATTATTCATTTATTTATTTTTTTGTATTTTCGTAAATAGTGAAATGCAGTATACATAATTTTTTTATTTTCTAGAGTTTTTATAACAGTACAATAACTTTCAAAGATGTGAAATTCTACTACCCGACTCGTCCGGATGTACAAGTGCTTTCAAACATAAATATTGAAGTGAACACCGGCGAGACCTTGGCTCTCGTCGGTGGAAGTGGTTGTGGCAAAAGCACGTGTCTCCAGCTAATCAGCCGTTTTTATAATCCAGACGCAGGCCAACTGGTAAGATCTTTTTTCTCTCTCTCTCTCTCTCTCTCTCTCTTTCGATTTCAACATTTGCGCTGATTATTTGCTTTATACTTGATCCGAGGTGGAAGTTGGTTGGATTAAAGAAACAAATTAGACACAAGTTTGGAGAAATGACCAAAAATTTATTTTCATTTATAAGATATGAAAATGTCTCTGGTAAGTCGTATACTGTAGCATTCGAATGTACGGTGTTCGAGGTGTGAAAATGGAGTATGCTTAACCTGGCTGACTGAATGTTGGCTATCGGTTTGAGCTTATCGCGTTGATAGTAGAGTCCGTTCTCTTTTTGTGTTCACAGGAGGCCGTTTTCACAGCCTGATGGGCAGTCAGCCATGCCCTCGGGTAGCCTTTACGATTACTCTGTGTGTGTGTGTGTGTGTGAGAGAGACAGAGAGATGTCTCTGACTTTTTGCCCTGTCCGGCTTCTCTTATAGCCTATATAAGGGAAACTCACAGACGTAGTTGTACACATATGTGGCAAGTGAGAGTCGCGTCGATAATAGCCAGCACTCTGGAATATTCGTTTGTTTTAAAAGATTTTGAGTAGAGTGCGGCGTGTGTGTGATTTAGCTAGACGAAAATAGGTATGTAGTTTGAAATTTTGTAATAATTGTATAAATTTGGTTTTAATTCGTTATATCTAAGTATGTGTAAATTTTGTTTGTTTTTTTCTGCTATATAATCCCGCGTTATGGCCATTTTACTGTCCGGCCTTCAAATGTTCTTCAATCTAATGCGCTTTCATTCCTTTTCCTATGCTTAGGAGAAATGTCGTATCCGTTAATACCAATCGTGTTGCATATTCGTTTATTTCACTCGATCGGAATGACATTTTCAGAAGTGTCCAATAACAACCACATCTCAAGAGAACAGGAGAGCGTACCCGGATTTATTATTGGTGGGCGTAATCTTAACACGGGTGATATTGAGCTGATGGCCGATCGACTCGGTAAAGAAATTAGAAGACTTCCTAATTATGTTGGTAGAAGAACGAGAAAAAAAAATAGAAGATTAACCATCAACGCCAAGAAGAGAAAAATCATGGTCATAAGCAAGAGAACAAAAAACCAAGATGCTAGTTACGAATTGGCGATATAACGTAATTCCCCATGTATAATACGCATTTTTATCTAAAAAATAACAAGCAAAATTAGGGGTCCATATTATGCACCGCTACAAAATATCTTCAAAAAATTGCCATTCCATAGGTCCATTTCAGTTGCGAAACGACTACTCACCACAAACTTGCAACAAATTTGACACTAATATTCGGCAATTGCGACCCCGTAAGGATGTCAAATAAAAACTAAATTAGAATAATATTCTTCTGTTTAAAATCGTTTTTTGTGAAAAACTGCATACAGATCCGATAGATTGCACATTTTATCGAACAAAAACAGGTTAATGAGTCTGCGCAGTAGGCACAATATTAGGTATTTCCGCTTCCTTTTAGAATCGTGATGATCGGAAATTTTGATAAATATCTTCAATTACAGCTTGAATAAGAGTAAGAAACGCTGACCGTAATGAAATTGGAGAAGTACAATTTATAGGGTTTCATTACCAAACAAGAGGTGCGTATTATGCGTGAGTAGAAACATTTCCCCGCACTTTCAGTACAATTTTAGGGGTGCGTATTATGGATGAAGGCGTATTATTCATGGAGAATTACGATAATTGTTAAACAAAAATTTAAATATCTGGGAAGCGTTTTAAGAGAGGATGGAAAATGCGACATCAAAATTTGAACAGGCATTGAATTAGTGAAAGAAGCGTTCCAAATAGTAAGCAACGTATTGAGAAAATTTCCTTTTTATGTAACAGTGATTGTTGGACAATCTCAGTACGGGTGGGGAGAAATCTAGTGGCAACAGGAATATGATTCTCCCGAAGGACATTGAAAATTTCATGCATGGAGCGAGTAAGCAATAAGGAAGCCTCAAAGAAAATGGTAACAGAAAGAACACTTCTACTCAAGAAAAAACAGTTGATATTCCTTGGACAGATAATAAAGAAGAGCCCGTAAAACATAACCCTAACGTGACATATTGAGGGCAAGAGATAGGTGGGGGCAGAGAGCCTGTTAATGGCCGGCTTTGTAAAGGGAGAAAAACTGCTAAGAGCCAAACGAGATAGGCATTCATGACTCTCCACAACGTCTCCTGAAGAGACGCGGCATATAGATGTCTTTTAAATAATGCTTTAATCCACTAGGCCATGAGCCTCGTGATCATTCCAGTGGTGTATTTTTGGAGCCTTAAACCTAATTTCTGTATTCAGGTGGTAGTGTTTGAGTGACTTTACGAAAAGATTGCTGACTACAACTGTTTTTTTGGGTTTATTTATAAAGTAATTTTAACATGAAAACTATTTTGTTTTAGTTCCAGTCTAATGTGGAATGTGTTTAAAAGATGGTTTACATGTTTTTGTGGCACAAGTTTAAAGGTGAAATGGGGTAAAGCTGGTCAATGTTGACTATCCTACACCTAGCTTACCCGACTTGCAAGCCATTTACTCTAACGATTTCTTCAATCACCGTAAGAACTAATCTAATATGGAATGTATATATTTCTGTATTTAACCAGAAATAATTCTGATTAAATACAGAAATTTTGGCCGAAAGGGAAGTGAGGAAGGGCTTGTCTTCAGAAACTATCCTGGTCCGAGTTAATCACAATCACGACCCATTCAATACAATATAATATGCTCAGTCACCACAAGAACTTGTCCATCGCCTCTCATTCCTACACGTACCAAAATACCACATGCTCGCAGGGGGCCTACAAAAAAATGTCAAAATTTATGCAGTTCATAATGAAATATATAAAAATGTTCTTGATGCTTTAACTGATGGTGGGGGGAATGAACCCAGAAAACATGCAATGTCACAATTATCAGTTCCCTCCGATCTCACTCATCCATTTAGATTGAATGGGGGGGGGGTGATTTCACAGAAGGTGGGGAAATGAATATTTATTTCGTATTTAATTACATTTTGGTACACGGCCGAATGGGAGGTGGGGGAAAGGCTGGTGGTACTAACTATCGTAGTCCTAGTTAAACACAATCACGACCCATCCATTCAATACAATATACTCAATCACCACTTGTCCATCACTTCTCATTCTTACATTTACCATAATACCACATATTCACAAGGGACCTACAAAACACCTCATGATGTAAATCTAATCTGGAATGACTGGAAAATTTTTGTCGTTGGAAGAGACATAAGTATTGATCTTTGTGTACCGTTGGGTTATTCTGTTTTATTGTTGTTGTTCACCATCATCCCTTTTCTCTATTCTGAACTGTCTTCATCTGTGCACTGTGGTGAGCCCAACAGCAATGGCGGAGTTTCCCCAATGGATGAGTGGGCCGGAGAAGTCTGCTTCACTCACCAAGTCGTCTTGGACCTCCAATAGGTCAAAACAAAAGGATGCCAAACATTTTTGAGATAGGTTACACAAGAGGCGGGAGGTGTCATTATCCTAGCTTGGTTGATCTGAACGACGATTTTGGTCTCGTCGATAGATAGCTGCTCAAGACATGGACGCGCGCCGTTAATTGACTGTCTACTCAAGTCGTCAGCTTGATGGATAAAATCCTAGTAAGATTCAATCTAGATTTGCTACATGCTGTTGTATTCCATTGATTCGACTATCAGAACCGTAAACTCGTTTGTGCCTGGATGGCGTTAGACAGTCGACCTGTAATGGCTGGACACTAAGCTCAACCGAATTGGCTAGGTGTTGACCACAATAATATGTAATGTGATAAATAATTATTCTGTTCTTTCTTGTCTTGAAATCAGAACGCTACTATCGCTTGTCTGTATCGTATTTTGTATGTTAACACCATTCTTAGTTTGTGAACATTTTTCCTTATTGCTATTGTTTTTCCTTATTGCTATTGTTTTTCCTTATTGCTATTGTTTTTCCTTATTGCTATTGTTTTTCCTTATTGCTATTGTTTTGCCTTGTTCTTTTCTTTGTTTATTGCAAAGTTTGTCAATTCTCTTTGTTGGGCAGTTCTGCCAATTCCATTTGGCCAATTATTCTACAGATATTTTTTTTCTTTGTAAGCTTTTAGATGGGCACGACTTGAATACATTGAATATTTCTTGGCTTCGAAAACAAGTTGGAATTGTGTCTCAAGAACCCATTTTGTTTGATTGTTCAATCCGAGAAAATATTGCTTACGGAAACACAACAGAAAATTTATCAATGGACACCATTATTGCAGCAGCGAAAATGGCGAACATTCATGCGTTCATAGATTCTTTACCAGAGGTAAACCACTTTCGAATTCTACTTTCTCTTTTCTCTTGAGCTAAGTTTTAAAGAGATTTTATAGTAAAGATTTATAAACAACATAATCTATTTTTATGTTAAATAATGAGTATTAGTATAGTGAGAAATTGAAGGCTAAAATTGCAGAAAGAAAAAAAAGAAAGGAAAACACAGGACTTCTTCAGAATCTTTTTATTGATGGTATCATATATATATATATATATATATATATGAATTATGGGATGAAATAAAAACATCAGTTATAATTATACATTGTGAGAAACGCCGAAAATTCAAGGACGCTTAAATATCTGCGGGCTATGAAAAAACAATTTTACAGAACAATTTTCTAAATGTATTTTAGTATCATCGGTCATTATCAGATGTATTCCGATAGGCGGGGCAAAAACCTCTGTTTTTTGGTGGAGGAAATTACTTCGGTGAGTAGGTGATATAACTGGCGCTATGGAAATGAATGAGATGTTAATGGGCTTTTTTGTTTATGTTGAGGTACTTTTCTGAGGAAGAACGAGGTCAGTTGCATAAACAACGTGCTATGTTAATAACTCAGAGATGATACAGTTTTATTTTTACTTTTATTTTTTAATAATGATCGGACACTTTAACAGAATTTCTTCTGATGTATCTTCGATTTTTTTTATAATTTACATCGTATTTCTTCAATATTTAACAATAAGAACAAATAAAATCTGTTTTTATTGCACTAGTAATTGCTATTAGGCAAGCAGTGTACATGACCAGAGTTACTGAAAATGGAACTTGATGCATGTGATTAATGACCATGACACAGTAAATACTTAGATATACATTTGTTTCTTCTTGATATCAGAATTTATGTGATCCTATTTCTCAAACCCTATATAAAAAGTATTTTCACTCTAAAAAGGGGATGCAGGTTCGATCCCTGCCGGAGGACACATGTACTAATCGATTTTATTTTAATCCGACATTAATTCTTACTTCAAAGTTTATTTTTAGTGGCTATTCGTGTTTGAGTAGAACGCCTCATTGTGGACACTGTCGTGCCAAGTTCATGATTATAGTACTAAAGAATTGTTCTACAGTTCAACCAACTGTGATCTAAATCTGCGCCTGGTGTATACAACTACTCCAATTAGTCATATAAGACCATTATCAATACTTTGCAGCTGTACCTTTTTATTTCAGATGTCATGGCAAATGCAAGAATTGAGATTTTGACAATGTTGATGCATAATTTTAAACTGGGCCTCGAAGCCTTTGAATGTGAAAAGTGAAAGGAAATATCTGACCGCACTGCGTGAAATAAAGCCCAAAAGTTTCCAAGGCAGCCTTTAGCTAAAAGAATTTTGTGCCCCCTTGTATATTGCTTGGGCAAAGGCTATCTCGCGGTCGTTAGCAGAAGTTCTTTGGTAGACAAGTGGGGTAATCTCATAAGTTAAACTCTAAATGCCATTTTGCTTGTGTTGCGAGTTCAGTTCTCACTGATGCCCATTATTTAGGTACCTCCACAAATTCGCCGAAAAAAACAGCATAACATGATGGAAAAATGGCCCCAAAGTTTTATCGTTAAAATGTTTATTATTAAGAGGAAAGACTTATTTTGTATTTTTTAATTATTTTTCGAAATTTGGTTTAATTTTTTTTTTTTTGTCTGTCAACGGTGTAACAGAGCTGGTGATGGGCATTTACGCGCCTGTTTTCCGGTAAAATAACACATTAATTTGGAAAGTCTTGCAAAAATCAAATAATTGTTAGATTTTCATGAAACTTTCAGGAATTATTTACAAATGAATGAATTTATTTTTAAAATTATTATTTTTAGAAAATCTTAGTAAAAAATGTTTTTTTTATGTCTGTTAATCCCCCCCACCCCCACCTACTTAATTTCATTAAATTTTCTAGCATTTAAAATCGTCAACGAAATTTTTTTATTAGTTAAAAGAGAATGTAAATCATCAATTTTTTTTTTTTCAAACTTTTACTAAATTCCCTAAAATCTTCTCCAAATCGTAAAAGAAAAACTGCAATAAAAACATCTAATTACTCAGATAAGCTTTTATCTGTTTTATAAATAATATATATTAAGGACATTATAGTCTGAAGAAAAAAAAAATGCGAGGAATAATTAATTTTTACGAGAATTGTTTGTATTTTATCTTTTTAATTTAAGTTTCAAAACTGGTTTAAAAATTCTTCGAAACACCAAGTTAGGTTAGTAAGTTATTAAGTGTAAACTATATTTACTTAGTGAAAATTAAAAAGCTCAATACAAATCATCACACCAAAAATTTTAAAAATAATTATAAAATTTTTTGTGTGACTAAAAGTATTTTATTATTATTTTTTTAAATATAGTGTTTCATACGTGAAGTTATCGTTAAAAGGTAACATTTTTCAAGGGTTGTCCCCTTACAAATAAACTGTGGCGATTCTTTCATTTAACTTCCAAGGATGGCTGGACAGGAAAACTTTTCAGGGCCACAAGTATTCCGAAAAATGTTTTTTTCCTCCAAATAATATTGTTTCCGGTATTAGATTATGCTTAAATATAATGAGTTTACGTTTGCCCAAAAATAAAATTTAAGTACTTTAAAAATTTAATAAATAAAATAACTTTAACATTTCATAACCATCAGGATATAACAATTAATAATAAAGAATAAAAGGAAAAAAAAGATCTTAAAAATATAAATTACTAATAAATATCATAAAATTTCAAATTGAGTTACCTCTATTATTGCATTTTATTATATCAGTTATTGAATAAAAATTTAATAACTGAGATATAATTAATATAATTATATTATCTGTTATTAAATTAAAAATAATGTAATAACTGTGGAAATATAATAATTAATAAATTTATTTATTATATTATCCCAATTAAATTTTTAGTTTAATAACTGAGATAATTAATAAAATACCATATAGCGGTAACCCGATAATTTATGAAATGTTAAGAAATTTTTATAGTATTTTAGATTTTAGTATATTTTCAGAAAGCATCTTCAAACATAAGGTTAAGTACCTTTTTTTTTTTTTTTTTTAAATCGATAAAATGTTAGATAATTGCTTAAAATATTTTATTTTCAAAAATTACCTGATAATTAAAAAAAACAAAAAACAAAGTTTTTACTTAGAATTTGTAAATTTGTCAATTCTGGTCCATCATACTTAGTCTGGCGTACTTAGGCTGCCAATATATCGATGGAAACGTGAGAATAATAAAAAACCGTGGTTAAGAAATGTTTGTAAACAACATTTTATGCTATAAGTAATGTTTCAGAATAGATTTAACTTTAAATTTATAAATTTCCGCAAATAACGTTTCAGAAATATATATTTTATTTTTGCAAGATTTTTAAAACTGTGAATTAACTTTTGTTTAGAACTGTCAAATAGTTGTTTCAATTGTTTTTTTCTGAAAAAAAAATTGAATCGACTAAAAATTATTCTAATTTCTATTTGAAATACACCACAGAAATAATCCTTTAGCTGTTACTGAAACCATTTTCTAACCATTGTTTAATGGTTAGCAAATTGGTTTTTCAGATCATTACATTAGTTTTTTTTTTTTTTTTAGTGTCTGATTAGTCTACTAAATTTCGTAAATATGAGCCAGGGTATTTAACTTGAGATCACTGATAAGTATATCGTTAGTTGTATAGTGGATTCGATTTTCTCTTGGGCCAGATTTTGGCATAATCTAAACAAGTTACAGCTTAGGGCCTCACAATCCACAAAAGCCTAAAAAAAAAACTTCGACAAATAGAAATGGATACCTTTTTAAGATTCCGACATAACAAGCAGCCTTCAAGTTTTATATCTTAGTTTGTTTTTTTTAAAAAAAGTCTAAATACCACGCTACTTATGGCAAATTAAGCAAAGCTTAATAACAGATTTTAAGATAGAGCATTGTCTTATTTTAAACGTTATTTTTGTTTATTCATTTTATCAGGGTTATGAAACTCAAGCTGGAGACAAAGGGACACAACTCAGTGGTGGACAAAAACAACGCATTGCTATTGCCAGAGCATTGATACGCAATCCTAAAATACTTCTGCTTGATGAAGCAACATCTGCTCTTGATAGCGAAAGTGAAAAAGTAAGTTTGCTTTTGTAAAATGTCTTTATTTCAATATTCAAGAAAAGTATTTCACCGCTTCCACTGCCCCTCCAACTCCTGAGTCAAGATCGGTCTTTGTTTTAAATAAGCTAAAATTTCACTAAAATATGCTGGAAAATTTCCCAATTTTCGTCTGAAATCAAGAATATACGAACCTTAAGTAAAATGGTCAGAATATGTCAGTTTAAACTGATGCCAGGAGGATATTGTTTAAACTAGCATACTACTAACTTCAGGAATTTTATTATTATGAACTGAACCCCCCCTTTTTTTTTCTTTTTTTTTCACCCTTCATGTGTTCGTCTATCTGAGTATCTTTCAGGGAATTTCGAATGGAATCCTGTATCTTTCACGGGGGTAGTGTTCTTGTTTTGCTGTCTATGCCTGACAATATCTCTTATTTTTTAAATTTTAGCATTGTTTAATTATTGCCACCTTGGTTGTTACTGAGGCTGAATTAGTACTGCTAAGCCCAGGGATTGGACTCAGAATTACAATGACACCAAATTCACAAACCAAACATGGGAAATCCTGAAGCTATAACTTGAAACCTTAAATTTGTTTTTATTGCCTGCTTTACTACTGCTGCCTTGTTGTGAAGCTTAACCCCCTCTGCTGCAATTTCTTTCAAACTGTTGCTTTTTATTTATTTTCTTAAATCTTTTCACTTGTACATGACTCCACCATAAAGCTTCAGAATTTCAACACTTAGCATATGACGGAATGGATTTTTCTTTTAATCATTTCACCCCCAGCAAGGCAATAAAGCGATTAAGATGCAAGGGGATTACTGAGTGAGGGGGAATGAGAAAAAGAAAACATTAAGGAGAAAGGACAATAAAAGAACTGGAATTAAGAAGGCAGAAGGTAATGATTGAAATTGTATTTAAATTTTGGGGGATCAGAATTGACTCGGAAGAAAGTTCCACAAGCGAGAATTACGAGAGAAGAAACTGTTAGCATAGAAATTACGGTAACATCTAACTGTTACAATTGAAAAATGAGACCTTACTGCCAATCTAGTACTGCACTTAAATTCATAAAGTCTAGGTACTTAAATGAAGTATTTCTGAAACTTTGCTGTTGGAGCTTAACTCTCTCCGCTGTCATTTCTTTATTTCTTGGAATAAATAAAAATATTCAATGTGAAATTTTCCGAAGCTTACCTGGATGACATACTTTTGTTGAAAAGCCTAACAGCTGAGACAATGTGATAAGAAAGATTAGGACACTAGTCTAAGTGTAAATACGTCGTCGTTCCAGAAATCCAGACAGAAACTTTGACTAATTTTGTTGGTTATCAATGCTTGACTGATAGAAGATAACAGTTGTGATATAAATTTATCACTGAAAATATAGCTCAGTAAGAAAAACATTGTAAAAAAAAAAAAAAAGTAAGGTTGATAACCTGTAAATAATCAAATCAATAAAATACAGAAAAAATAAAGATTGATTCGTTTTCTGCAGGTTATTTAAAACCAGAATATATGTTTAGATTGTAAAAGTATTTTTGAGATAATAATGATTTACTAATTAACCCATAGCTGGGGGAAGAGGTAGCTTAATCCCTCGTCAGAATTAGATAAACATTGTGGATATAAAGTGAGGGATCAATTCTATATTACAATCACTATATAAACTGATTCCTCACTATGAGAGAATGTAAATAAGTCTTAGACATGTTTGTGTAGGCAATCAGCATTTCATTGATTGTGGGATTGATTCATTTTCTACAGCTTATCAACCCTTAGCAAGTTATTTAAAGCCAGAAAATATTTTTTAGATTGTATGTTTTGTTTTTTGTTATATAGTAATTACTTACTAATACAAATCCTACTAATTAACCCATAGCTGGAGAGAAGAAGAGGTCGATTGATTCCCTTTCTCAAGGGAATTTGCGCCTATCTGAATATAACGAACACAACTGAAATTAGAACTCAGTTCTCTGATTTTCAATTTCGAGATGTTATACAGGTCATCACGCGCATATCCAAGCTTACAGGAGCTGGTATTCCCAAGTGGTCACCCATCTAGGTACTGACCAGGATCGACGTTGCTTAACTTTGAAAACTGTATGAAAACCGGTGTTTCAACGTGATATGGCGGTAAGCCTAGAAAGTAAAGAGAAGCAAATAAACTTTATGTACAAGGCAAAGCATGTCCGTTATTTGGGAACATTACTCAAAAGCTTTTAACTGCCGGGCTTCTAACACGGAATGGTGTTTAGGTGTGTGTGTGTGTGGGGGGGGGTCATATGCGTACATGGAACTAGACTAAAAATAGCCCAACTTTCTCAGCACCTCCACTCTTGGGGATGCCTCAGGGATCATCAATAAGAGGTATTATCTGGAAAGACACCATTTCACCAGAGATTCGATTTAAACAAATTAATTTTTGCATATTCAAGAGACAAAAGAATAAGAAACTAACTTTAGCAGGCATTATAGTTGAGTGAACAATTGCTTGGTGGAAAACACATGTATAGAAAATATATAATAATTGGTGAGGCTGGTGCCTTTACAAAAGGAAGAGTGTAACAGACGTATGCCCCGAGTTACAAAAACAACAAAATACTACTTCTGAAGAAGAGCAGGCTATTCAAAAACTTTGTAAAAAGAGGCTTTCACAGTGAATGTAAATTTGTACTTGAAAGGTGAATTCTGTATTTTACTTCAGAATATGCAATAATCATGAATCCTGACCCAAATATGGAGAGAATTGGGATCGAATATGGATTGGAATCCAACAGAATAAGATAAAGAAAAAAAATAGGAAACGTTTATCAATCTAACATGTTTCACTTTTATTAAAGCTTCATCAGAGAATATGTGCAGAAAAAGAAAAAAATCTGGTGTTGGAAGACGTTAATTGCTTGGAACTTTGAATGGATGTGTTGGCGCCACAAATTATATTAACGTTTGTTTAATAAGTGACTGACCAATAAAAATCAAACACAAAAGTAAAAATGCGAGAATTTCCTTTTTTTTTTTCTCTCTCCATATCTCATTCTCTGAAGTATTAATAAAAGTGAAACATGTTAAATTGATAAATATTTCCTATTTGTTCTTTTTATCATATATACTTGTGTGTGTGTGTGTGTGTGGGTGGGTGGGTGTAATAGGCAAACATTACCAGTGGGTTGTTTTCACAAGAATGGGAACATCTCGTATTCTTATCCACTCATTCTTTTTTGTTGTTGAGATGACTTGTATGAAAGTTGGGTAGGAATACAAGCTGTTCCCGTTCTTGCAAAACACACACACATATTCAGAAACATGGAAAGTGATATTGCTGACCAGAGTTCAAATTGTGTTAATAATAATGTTATAATTGCTGTAAAATATTATTGCGAATAAATATCTTCTTGCGATAGAGGAAAAAGATCTGTTCTGTTCCCTTTACACTAATGCTTTTGGAAATGGCATAAATGAATTTGTCTCCTATTATGGGTAAAATAGCAGGACGAATTAGTTCTTTTGTCAAATTTACTTGAAAAAAAATATTTATTAATTTTTGTTACATTTGAAGGAGAGCTTCTACTAAATTTTTTATTTGTCTACTTATGTCCCTTGGGGATACTTTGAAATAAGCTTGGCTAACTTGGGCTCTTTTAATGCCAATTCCAAGTTTTCAAAGGGAAGTTCACTTTTTTACTTTGTAGTCCAAGCTGGTAATTGTTAACCAAATGTTGATAATCTACAATCTTTCAAGTAAGTATGGTCTATTTGCTAGTTTTACTTGTCAAAAAAAATGCTCTTTCTTTTTCTTTTTTCTTTTCTTTTTTTATCCCCCTCAGTGTTATATGGTCTTTTGGGTGATTATTTCCACCTTACAGACCTGACATTTTTGAGTAATACCAGTGTTCAGATCTTCACAGCTAGGATCAACCTTGCCGCATCCACAGGCTCAATTCAGCCTCATTCCTTTTGTATTCCTTTAAGATATAAGTTTCGCTCAGTCAGTTTATTCCGGTGAGGACCGCTATTTTGTGGAATAGATTCCTGAGTGGATGCTTCCTCGGTCACTACAATCTTAATCTCTTCTGGGGTCAACTGATATGTCTTATATACTTTCATGGTCTGCTCTTCCTCAACTTACATCTCCTTTAACTTGATGAATATTTAGTTTAAATAAAAAAAAACATTGCAATTACTTTGAAATACACAATTGTATAGGACTATGTGGGTTTGGGTGTTGTTGAATTAGGAACACGTGCTGTTTATTACTGCTAGAAGAAGGTCCAACTACAAGAATAATGCCGGACTCAAATAGGCCCCAACCGAATATGTAAAGAAGGCAAACAAAACCAAGATATATATATATATATATATAAACAAATATATGTATTAAACAAAAAATTTACAAGTGACATAGACATTAACATTTGTGTTTGTGTGTGGACGTAAAGAAGTTGTATGTTGGTGAAAGTTCCTACGTACGTGTTTCATGTTCACGTCGTCTTCCCAGAAATGGGGAGACGCTGTCTTCTAAGTGAGCTTACATTGTAAATGTGTTCGCTGAAATGAAAAAGAAAACGAGGTAATAAGTTGCCCAGTATTTATAGTGTAGAGAGAGCGACCCCTAGTAAATAATTAGGGAATTAAGGAGGAGCTAACTCCGGCACAATTAGTTCAAGACAAGTTTAATTTGAACAGTTTTTAAAAGTTATTTATTCTTTTATTTTTAATTTTCTTTCAGGTTGTCCAGGAAGCTTTAGATCGGGCTCGTGAAGGCAGGACATCAATTGTGATTGCACACAGACTGTCAACTGTAAAAAATGCAAACAAAATTGTCGTTATAAAAGATGGCAAAGTTTATGAATCTGGAACACATAATGAATTATTAAGCAATCAGAAATTATATTATCGTTTAGTTAATGCTCAGCAAATTTTATAGAGATTTTATTTTTTTTAAGGCTGCTTTTTTTTCTCCAGTTGCTTCATGGGTTGCAATAATTCATTACGTTTCTGATTTGAAAGAAAAATGACGAAGTCCTCTTTTTATGGATCCAAATTTTCTTTGTTTTATACCTTAAACAATCAATAAGCACAGATTCTTTCAGTATTTTTCTTAAAGCGAAACTAATTTTAGAAATTGAATCTGAACATATTTACTTTTGACTTTCATAAATTCATATCAAAACATTTCATTTAAGCCTTAAATGAATTTTAAGGCATTGTGTCTTTTCGTAGAGAACTTGAATACTGACATTCATTAAGAAATCATTAATACAAATAACGGTTTTGCCTCTTTTAAAAATTTTACAAAACTGCAAAAATAAGTTCCATTCGTTTTTGTCATTACCGGTTTTTTTTATTATAAATTAGTTTTTTGTCATTACAAACATTACATTCATATCTCTTAAAAGAAAGTTTAAAAAAAAAATTCGTTTTATATTTGAACATATTAAAATTTGATCTGACCTGTAAACGCTTAAATTTGAAATACTTAAAAAGCAAATAGATGATATATTATGTGCTTAAAAATCCAATATTATCCTATTTTTTTTAATGCAAATTGAGCTACGATGATCGTACTGTTTAAAGCATTTAACAAAATGAGTTAAGATAAATTTGCCACTGAAAAACAAAATTCAATGTTTGAAGATAAATGTACAATGTCTTTTTTTTTGCAAGGATTTATATTAAAATTCCATTTTTTATAATATATATATATTTTTTCTTTTTATTTAACTGTCACATTCTTTGTGACAGCATTCAACACCTTCAATATTGTTGTTGTCTTACTCCGAATGCGTAGGCTAAGGATAAAACAATGGCAGATAATAGGCCCACTGGGAAGCAGTGTGCGGACGTCCGGATGAAGACGAGGCATTAATTTCATCGAGGGACGATTAATTAATGTTTTGGTCAAGTAGGAAAAATATCGTGTCAGGGAACAAGTTAAAAACTAGCATTTCTGCATAATCCAGTAGATATCTAATACAGATATATATGTTAAAAATATAGTTTTTAAGGTATTCTGTCTTTATGGGTAAAAGTGGTCAATATCAGGGATATAGTGTATGTAAGTATAAGTGAACATTGAAGTCAACACAAGGCAGCGACCGTTTGTTTCATGCGTGAATACAATCTTCAGGCCATGTGTGTTGTTTTGGTTCGATTATTTATATATGCTGATCAATTATTTATAGTTACGAATGACCACATTTGGATCCACAATTATTTCTATCGCATGCCCAATAATAGTTAGTCTAATACAATAGATTCCGCTACACATAATGCAACATTTATTGGAGTCTACTGTATTATTTTAACGGTTATGTTTCAAATTATTCTAGAGGCTATCAAATAGGAATAATTGTCGGTCCCAATGCAGCTATTTGTATATATAATCTCAATCATTTACAAGGTAATTCAGATATTAATATGGGCAGGTCCCTTCAGGCCATAGAATCCAGCATTAATTTTCCTTTTTTTTTTTTTTTTTTTCTCAAAATTTAATCTGAGAAAAGTTTACTCTTTTTTTCTCTCTTTTTTTCTCTCTTTTCTCTCTCTCTCTCTTTTCTCTCTCTCTCTTTTCTCTCTCTCTCTCTTTTCTCTCTCTTTTTCTCTCTCTCTCTTTTCTCTCTCTCTCTCTCTCTCTCTCTCTCTCTTTTCTCTCTCTCTCTCTCTCTTTTCTCTCTCTTCTCTCATTCTCAAGGATTTAAATATTTACTATCATTTCATGTCATCATGAATAATTTGACTAATAAATATTTTACCTTATAAATATCAGTTTATGATTAGTTTAATGGAATGAATGTCTTTTATATCATTTTAGATAGGAAAGCATTTCGATGTTTTTCTTTTATTCAACGTTAATATTTCACATAGAAAAGTATTTTACGCAAACCTTATGGATTCATCTGAAAATCTTTGACTTTTCGCTATATTCCATTAAAGTGAGAGAACAGGTAAATAGGAATTTGTATTTTAAGATTTATGTAAAATTTTCAGAGGCGGAAATCTTTTGTTATACAAGTAGGTAGTTGAATAAAAGCCGGATTGGGATTTGAAAACTGAATGTAAAATGTACTTTTTTTTCTTTCTTTTATCGATTAAGTGTCAAGCAATTGCTACGCTAGTCTAGAGATTCAAGATTGAATACATTGAATCCTCAATGTGTAATTGAAAATAAAACAAGATGTTTTTTATATCAAGCAAGAAAACTATTTCTCAAAAGATGCAAAACATGATTGATTCTTGGAAATGAAGATCTGTTGCTAGTCATTAGAAAATGGTGTGGAACTTGTTTACTTTGACGAATGCATTAAATACAGGGTGTCCATAAAGTTCGTGTGCACTTAAAAAATTATAACTTTATTTGTATTTGCGATAGAAATAATCTGTAAAAAGGATTAGAATGAAGTAAATCTATATTTTTTAAGGTTTTATTGAAATTTTATTTGTTTCCACATGTCCTCCATCATTAGCAATACAAAGGGTAATACGATTTTGCAGTTCACGGAAAACATTTGCCAACTGATTTACAGTAATGCCTGAAATCACATTAGTTATTTTAGCTATACTTAAAACTAGGTACATTCAACTTTATAACATTTTTTACAGATTATTTCTATCGCAAATACAAATGAAGTTATATTTTTTTTAAAGTGCACACGAACTTTATGGACACCCTGTATTTATTTCAAGAAGCATAAAATCAGTGAGGTTTTTTTTTATGCAGAAGTTCGCAATTCTAAATTTTTTGTTTGTATATGTTGTACTTTTTGTGTCTATTTTATGTCAGTTTATCTAAAAAAAAAAAATTGCTCTTGTCAAAATCGTACAATGACATTTTCTTCTGTGCAGTGTCTCTTGAGGACATTGGCAATCATTCATGGACATTTACAATTTCATGTCCCTTGTAACTCTTAATAAATTGTCATTTTGTTATCTCTCCTAAACCTTACTCTCCTATCCGTTTACCCAGGCTCGCTAGGTAGGTTATGTGTTCTTTTCCTCTGTCCCTTTGGCCTTCAATCGGTCCTGTGGCTATCAAATTTTCCAAGCCCTCTTTCCTTATAATGTGTCCATCATATTCTCAACATCCTTAAGTAGAACCATATTTCTGTCTCTTCCACTGTGAGGAGGTTGTCCACCATTCACTGCTATATGTATAACTGGCCACTCGTATTCGAGGATACCCGTCTACTAGGGTGGCTGACCAATCCCTATTGCAGACGTTTGCTCAGGCGCATTCGTGTTTATTCAACACCCACAGAATCCATCTGTGGTTTATACTGCAACTATGATGAGCGGACTTTAGTTACAGTTTCTGGGAAAGAGCGTGTTATCTAGCGTGATCAACAATTTGAACAAAGCCAGCACGCTCAAACCGATGACTTGTGACTTCGTGCTAACACAGCTATCAACGACCCCCAGGGTTATCGTCTACCTAATTTCACTCGCAAGGCTTGGGTCAGCCCGTGGTATGGTTTTCAGGCACTTTCCAAAGGTGCTACATGCTGGGATAGACCCCACCAGTTCAGATAACATCAGGAAGTTTCCTTGCTGACAAATCAACCATGGTGAGATTCGAACCCGGATCTCATGGTCGGAATGCGTACGTTTTAACTATTCGTGCCCCCATACAGTCACTGCCACATAGGAGAACTGATATTACATAAGTACTCTGTTTGTAATGAAGGTTTATACACTAGCACCCCACCAAAAGGTTTTAGAAATTTTAGTATTGAGCCTACTCTTATGTAATGGTCAACAAGCCTCAATGTTTACTCTGTTGTCTTTGAACTCAAGTAAATATCTATAGTTAACGTGTTCATAGACAGAATACCATTGAAATCCTCGAAAAGATATTCATTGTCTAAATTTTGATAAAATCAGCTGTACTCGTTGGTCAATTCATATTACGTGTTGTGGCCTTGTTAGGGCCAGAAATAAAGACACAAAGAGTAGAATTGAGTTAAACAAATATATTAACAGAAACAGTAATACAAACGAGAGTGTTACAGCAAGAATGTTCGGTCCGACTGTCAGAGCTGATTGCTGGAAACTTCCCTCTCTAAAGGCAGTACCTGCTCCTATTTATAGCTGGGTGAGTCCATGCGTGCGTGGGCAAATTACCATAACACTACGATATCTTTTGGTGAGGGGTATGGCTTTTGTTTCTTATTCAAGATAAACAAGTTTTCCTGCCAAATGTATATGAACTTTGAATTTTGGTTCCCCCACTTTCGACTTTTTCCAGCTGTTTATTCCTTTACTATTCCAGTTTCCGTTCTACTCATTATGTATGTTACTTGATATTTCATTCTGTCTCTCTTGCATCATGTGAGTGTCAGATCTTTTCTCGCGTTGCAGAAATGTTAGATTGTCCTTTTCATCTCCATTTTCCTTAAAATTTCCTCGTTGCTCACATGCGCCGTCCATAGTATTCTCAGCATCCTTCTGTGGAACCTCGTGTTACCTCAGGTCCATCTGTGAAAAAAAATCGTTTCTTAATACTTTGTTTAGCTTTTGCAAGGCATTTTTCACTATGCCAGTGCATCTTGAAATCGTGTCACATTTTTTTGTAAGTTATAACATAAATTTCTACACTTGCTTGATTCTCAGATCTCCAATTTCTAGTTAACATCTTGTGATATCCCCTTTTGCTAATGACCTACATTCTTACTTCCATCAATTGATAGTTAGTCCTTTCTTTATGAACCCCTGCAATTTTCTGTGTTTGCTATCAATATGGTGTCATCTGCATATCTTATGTTAAGATTATGCCCACCAATAATAATTTTTCTAGTTTTTTTAGGATTGCCTTGATGTAAAGGTTAAATCTGGTGAGACGATGCCTCTTTGTCTCATTTTCTATCTATATACAGAGAAACCACTTCAAGAAATTTATTAAGAACTATCTTTTCTAAATAAATCAAGTTTTCAGTGTAGTTCAAATACTTCTGTCTAGTCTTTGAAACATACTTTTGTTTTTGTATTGCTCATTCTGATATTTTTTTTCATCATAAAGATTGCAGTTCCAGTGTCGTTAATGAAACCAAACTTCTTGTCCAATTTTTGGTATCATCTGGATTCTGATAAATAGTTTTGTATTTTTTGTTTAATTTTAATCTATATTCCATTACCAATTAATTCTTGATACATTTACATGACACATTTGCCACAAAGCATTCAACTTAGGATTTCTCAGATAAGTAAAATCCTGTATTTGCTTGATTTTGACACCTCTAATTTGTTGTTCGTACATCTTGCTAATGACCATACGATGTCCTATAAGTGATGGTGATTCTCCAGTGTCAGAGTTCGTACATTTTTCTTTCCATGTCCGCCATCAGCATGGTGTCATCTACATATATCCTATGTTGTTCTTGGTAAGAGATCGAGTTCTAGTCCTTTTACAATCGTTTCATTATAACGGTGATAAGACGAACATTTGCCTTATACCCACCTCTATTTTTTTTTTATATTTTGTTTGCTTAATTCGTTCTCTATCTGTAAGTGGTTTGCTCCTAGTATATATTATAGATTATTCTAATCTTTCTTAAGTAGTTTTACTAGCAGTTCAAATAGATCTTAGTGTAATATATTATCAAATGCTTTAGTATTGTCTATAAAATATAGGCATGCATTTTTTTGCATTTGTATTGCGCATTTTGATCATAAAGATGACCTTTCTTGTTCCAGTATTTAATGAAATCATACTGTTCTTGCCCAGTTATGTGGCTGATTAAACCAATAGTCTGATGGGGCTTATATTAATTTGCACTGGATTTGTAAGGCAGCTCTATGAAGATGAATCTATTAAGGTCTGCTGGTATGTTTGTTGTTTTGGTAATAGTTTTCTTATAAGGGAATATTTGACATTCACTACACCTTGTTTTGGAAATCCTAAAATCTTCTAAGGATGATAACCTCTTTGACAATCCCATTTGGTCATACTGCTTTGTCCTGTTCATCTTGGCCAGTCCCGATCTTACCTCAATTTTGTAGACTTCCAGGTTTTTATATATTGAAATTTTCCAGTGTATTCATCCCATATTTTATATATTCTTTTCTTTCTATTATGAGTGTTCATTCTTTAGATTTTATGCCTCCTGTTGATGAGAATGTCTTTTGTCCCCATTATTTCATTCTTTTATGCATGTCTGTAATGTCTTTCTATCTCTTTACATTTTTGTTGAGCAATTCGTCTTTTGCCTGTCTGCATTCTGTACCATTCCTTGGCATTGTTTGCTGTTTCTTTTTCATCATATTTCTAGAGATTCTCATAAGGTGATCCTCTTGAAATTTCCAGTCATATCCAAGTTTTTTTGTTTTCTTTTAACATTTATGATTATAAATTAATAACCCTTTAGCATTTACATTTTATATATATATATGTAACACCATTCACATAAGAAAGAGAAATTAGTCCAAGACAAATAGTCAATTTGCCTGATATCCTTCAACAATGAATGTGTGTGTCTCTTAGGTTCCAAAAATGCTGGCAAATTGACATTGTAGAAATTTTGTCCACTCAAGGTCAACATCATTATCCATATTTTATTTTTTCATTTTATTAATGTTCACCAAATACAAGACCCAAGGGCTGCTCAAGGTAGAGGGTTACTTTGTGGAGATGTATTAGCATAAGGGCGGGTAAGATAACAGGAAAGATAGACAGTTAATTCTAAACTTGAAGGGCTCAAGATTTAAT